GATAAAAGTAAACAACGTTGTTTGACTACTTATTCCTATCACTACTTATTCCTTATACACACACACACATATATATATATAGAGAGAGATTCATTCACACAATCATTCATTCAAGTTCTGTATAGGTGTTATAGTTACCAGCCTAGAAGCTGCTCATGCCAAGTTACTGGCCAGGTATCTTGGTCATGAGGATGGAGCCGTGTCTGTGTCAGATGCACCTGATGCTCCTGGAGGTTGGCAGCAGAACCAGAGATTCAAAGTCATCAGTCTTGAGAGTCCATTCTTATAGGAATTAATTCCTATGTTAGTCTATGGGAGCTGTTTCATCCTGCTGTTGCTGACAATCAGCAGATGGCACATTCCTGGGCACATTTCTGGTGGCTCCACACTGTCCAAAGTTTGTGTTTCTCATCCTTCCAGGTGATGGGGTGGGTCCCAGTTTAGCCTCCGGGGGTTTTCTGGTCATCCACTTGACACATTCTTCGGCCGATGGATACTCCCTTTCTAGGCTGGCACCTCCCTAACCATTCATGTATATCAAGCATTCATCAGCATACATTCCATATCTTAACCCTATTTTAATGTACTGTCTCCACCACTTTCAGGGCGTGTGCTAATTCATTTGAGAGTCCCGGCCCTTCAGGGTGGGGGGTCTGTCCTAGGAGCCGTTGAATGAAGTGAAAGTCACTTAACGGCGTATAGTGTTTGTTTACATTGTATCAATAACTTCAAGAACAAAGTCAATTAACTTGTTTGTAAATTTTACATAGTAATAAAGTATCTTTCACAGGATAGATACAATCAATGGGTTCTACAGACAGTAGCTTACAAGTTTTAACAGAAGACCCAAGAGATTTTTGTACTTGGTGAAACTGTTGGATTTTAAAGTGTGGGGGACAAATTATGAGGGGGTCACTGTCACTTGGGGAAATCACTGTTAGCACCTTCTTTAATATCCCTTCAACTGCACTTTCTCTCTGTGCACTGGCTTGGAATTTGCATTCTCCTGTTTCGTTAACCATTTCCTCCCCATCTTTGGGCAAGGAAGAGCAGAGAGGCTGCAGGAGAACTATGGGGCTTGTGCTTGTTAAGGACATGGGGGGGGGGGGGAGTCTTCAGCACTGGTTCGCATCCAGCACGGATTTACGCTCCTGCAGCTGGGGAGAGTCTGTGTACCATGAGCCCAGCTCCCAGCGGCCGGGTGTCCCTCTCACACAGAGCACCATAGTAACGGACTCCATGTTGGCAATCTCTGGAGAGAGGTCAAAGGCTGAACGGACCACCCAGACTGAACAGGCCCCGCAGCCCTGGAATAGGGGCCTCTCCAGAGCAGGGTGGAGGCATATTGCAACCTGGGACTGATTCCGGCTGGACCCGTTCAGCGGGCGCCAATCTAGCCCTTTCATTACAAAGACATTAAGAAACCAAAACAAGGTGACAAGCCCAGAAAAGGGGTGACTGGCTGCCTGGGGATGATGCTGTGTCACTCTCAAGAGCTGTTAGCCAAAGGGCTTTCCCCTGAAAGCACACCTAGTACATTTCTGGTACAATTACACCATATGCCTGCAACAAGCAAGACTGACACGGCTGCGATTGGCCCCTTCACTGTCCCACGGCCTTGCAAACCCAGAAGCCAAATGCACCCCCATTTTTGCCACCTTACATGGATCCCCTCCCCCCATGCCAAATAAATTACTTTCACTGAACCCCACTTCCCTTCCTTGTTCTTCTCCAGTGCCTGGGGGAGCTTGGGGCATGCAGACGGGAGATCCCAGCTGTGAGGTGCCAGAGGTCACCAGCCCCTGCCCTCGCAGCGAGGGAGAGCGGCCCGGCGCGAGTTGCTCAACGTCCAAAGCGACCGCATCTGGAAACCATTTCGACAGCTTTGCTCTCAGAAGTTGAACATTTCCTTTGCGGCGCCTGGCCTGCTTCCCTGTCATTTCCGAGTAGCTCGCCGGGTAAATACGAGGGGGCCATTTTGATTGGAGTGCATGAGGTGAAGCCCAGACAGGGGCATTCTGGGCCGCTGCACCCACTGAGCGGGACTCACTCCAGAGAAAGCTTTGTCACCAGTTGGAGTGGGTGACTAACCCAGCTCCCTTGGGTGCATTTGGGTGACGCACAGGGAGTTCTGGTCCCAGGAGTATCAGCCTGTGCTTCCTGCCATGTCCTGGCTGGCACGTTGGTCCCCACCCCTCCATGCTGCTGCTCCATATGGAGTCAGCTCAGGGAGATGCATGCTTCACCCACTGTCTTTTCTCCAGCGTGGCCTGAGGGCAGCCAGCCGCCCCGGGCTCTGTTCTCACACGACCCCGTTGTGTATGGGGTGAGTCCGCACCCTGTAGATGATGACAGCCGTGGCCGGGCACAGCACCATGGACGTCATGACCAGGATGGTGGCCAGGATGATCAGCACGATGATCCAGATGTCCAGGATGTGCTTGGGGATGGCAGACATGGTGGGATTTGGGCTGCTCATGACTTCCATCCTCCTCCTCTCTGCCACAAAAAGTAAGAGTTACGGATAAAGCAGGACACAGAGCAGTGCAGTCCAGAAAAGACCCTATAGTTATATATCCCATCCCTCATCTCCTCTTCCCCACTCACCCCATGCCTTCCCCCGTCCCTCTCCTCCATGGTTCCCCCCATCCTACCCCCTCCTCACCTTCCCCATCCCATCTCTAACCCCCTCCCTCCTCTCATTTACCCCTGGCACTACAGAATCACCAGCTGTCTCTTTCCATCTCACTCCCGGCCTTTCCCAACCTAGGCTGAAAATACAACTTTCCTCCTCTGGTTTCTCAGGTCACATTAAGGCCTCCGCCTCCTCTACCCCCCACTTTGCTCTTTTTATTATCGACAACAATAGAGCAGGGCCACAAGCAGACGAAATAGCCTTTCGGGTGAGATTTTCAAACCCTACCCTGCATGTCTGGAGCTTGTCTGGTGCTGCTGCCTAATGTATTTGGAAACCCTGCGTAAGTTTTAAACTTTTACAAACTTCAGCGCTTCAAGGTACGTCCTTGGCACAATGTATTACTTTTGCAGACATCTGTATTTTGAAGCACTCTGTGCAAGGCAGACGTGGCAGAAATGTAAACTCGTGAACTCACATTTCAAACAAAGAAGTTTGGTTTGATGCTTAGAGAAGGGGGCTGGGTGCCAGGAGCCCCATTTCCAGCTCTTCCATTGACTTGCTGTGTGGCACTGACTAAGTACCTTACCAACTCTGTATATACATATATAATAAATGTATGTAACTCCATTTACCCGCTGTTAAGTGGCCCTTGCAAAGCTGCTGTGAGGAGGCCCAGCATATGCAAGGCTTGGATAAAAGCCGCTGTAAAATACTAATTGTTAATTATTTATTATTATTATATGACTTGAGAGAACCAAGCAGCGACCCAGGCATTCCGGCCAGTTATACAGTGATGTGTGCATTGCTGAGTGGAAATCTTTGAGATTAGTGAGAAGAAGAGCTCTGTGTAGCTCGAATGCTTGTCTCTTTCATCAGCAGAAGTTGGGCCAGTAAAAGATTTTACCTCACCCATCTTGTCTCTCTAATATCCCAGGACCAAAATGGCTACAACAACCCTGCACAGGAGAAATTCAGAATCTGACTACCACAGTATCAGTATAGATATTGTTTTAGGCTGGGAGTTTCAAATGAGACTAGGGGAGTTAGGTGCCTAAATCCACCATACAGTCAATGGAAGTTGGGTACCTAATTCCTCTAAGCACTTTGGAAAATCGCAGATTTAAACTCAAGGCCTTGTCTGCCAGTGTCACGTCTGTTTGCTCTGGGGACTTCCCCGGGGACTCAGGGATGGACGGTCCAACCAATGCTCTCCATCTTGGAGCTACTTTTCTAGCTTCTCTGCTAGGTTCTGACAACACCGGGCTGTAGGATTCATGCTGTGGCATCTTCCACTGGATTCTGCTCCCTTGAGGCATCTCTCTTCCCATAATCGTGGCCTTCTGAGTCATGGAGTTAATAGTTTAATTACCAGAAAATCATCAGATGACACCATTAGGTAGGACTGACGGGCTGTGTTTATCTTTCTGGTCTTTTATCCACCCCCGCACTGTCTGCTCCTCTTTCATGTCTCTCCAGTCAACTTCAGAGTGTGCTAGTCTGCAGAGAAAACCTTCCTCTGCTTCCTCCCTCCTTCTGCAGAGCTTTCTCAGAGCTGAGCCCAGGGTCTGGGTGTTATCTTGTTCCCAGAGCTTAGTGGAGCAGCGGGACAATCTCTCTCTCTCAGATCCTTATCTGGCCCTCATCATCATTGCATGTGAGCACCTCACACTCTTTTAATGCATTTATCCTCGCATGCACACCCCCGGTGAGGTAGGGTAGTACTACATTCCCCCTTTGACTGATGGGAAACTGAGGCACTGAGCAGCTAAATGACTCACCCAAGGTCACACAGAGAGTCGGTGGTGGAGAAGGGAATTGAACATGGGCCTCCCGGTTCCTAGGTTACAGTCCTAACCATTGGACAGCCCTTCCTTTCTAAACAGGAGGGTCGGGCGGGGGGAAGGACATTCAAAGTAGGGCCCAGCGAACCTTTGTTTAAACAGAACCAACCATGACAAAGACCTGTCTCTGGGGTTCTCTGATCCATCTGCGTATGAACAATCAAGGTGTGACGGAATGAGCAGAGCTGTTTGTAATTCAATCCTGAGGGCGTTTGTTGGTGTAAGGGCTGTTACGCCAGCTAGACTGGTCTTCTGAGAGGGGACTGAGTCACTGGCTCTGCTCCCAGTCCCCCCCCAGGAGCCCCCATCCTTCCCCATAGAGCTGCAGGTAATGAGAGACCAGGAAGGGGAGAGATGTGTCTTTCCCAAGCTCTGAGCAAACACATTTCCCTGGGTGAGTCCGGGGCCCAGACCAGGCTCCACCCACTCCTGCATCACACATCTGTCTATGGAGGATGTGGCTGGAAGGGAGGAGTGGTTGAAATTGGCATGCGAGTGATGCAGGTCCATGCACTTCCATGTGGCAGGGGAGAGGCCTCCTTAGGTCATCAGCAGGTTCAGGCGTGTTTCAGGGCAAGAATTCGCTGGCACGTTTCAACTGACGTTAAAAGCTACTCTTCCAGCATAGCGGGGGCTTCGCTCAGCAAAGACGACCTGCTCTGTGCCCTGGCCCACCCAGAAAAGCAGTGGGGGCTGAGTCAAAAACAGACCCCTGGGAAGAACAAGCTTCTAGGTGAGCAGCAGAGGAAAGTTACCTTGGTCAAGGTGTAGATCTAGTAACCCCGGGGGTGACAAATGGTGCACACGCTTAGGGGCTGATCCTGCAATCCGTACTCATGTGAGTGGTCCTGGGGAAGTCCGTAGTGCCAAAAAGGCGCTTAGAGGCTATGGTGGTGGGCTTTCTAAGTAGGTATCAGTCTGGGAGAAAATATATGTCCTCGTTTGCCGTCTCAGTGATGCGCCTTGTCCATCTCAGATGGCCCAGAGACACAGCTCTGATTCTCCTCCTCCTAGAGGAGAGTCCATCCCGGGTGGGCACTAAAAACTTGTTCTGTTTGAGGTGTGTGGGTGAAATGCACAAGCCGATCTCCCTCTCCAGTGCATGCGCGAGTAAATGTTGGCCACCTCAGGTAACCCCAGGGAGAGAGCGGGATGGAATTATTTTGGCCCAAGCTCTAAATGGATCCTGACTGTTATTTCCGTTCCCAGCACTATAAATATGGCACATGCACCTGCTGGCACAAACCCTCTAATGGCGCCCTGCGTGCCATGGCACTCTGGAGCTGCTCAGCAAGGACTTCCACTATTGCAGGCGCTTGTCGTCACGCGAATACCAGCAAAGGTAGGGCGGGAGGAACCAAGGTGTCAAGCCTTCAGGGCCCTGCAGATAAGAGCCGTAATCTCAGCTAATGCTGGGGACGTTAGGTCAAAGCTCACGCAGATTCAAAGGACAGGCTGCACCCACAGCGGAGCCTTGAAGGGATTTCTGGAAACACGGGCTGTTTATGCAACCCCTGGGCCTGGTAATCGCTGCACATTCGCCCTCTGCGACATGAGTGCTCACTACTGCTACGATCCCACCAGCACTCGGCTTAGAAGCACAGAGGTTAAAGGTGGATGAGGCCTAGAAGGTCATCCAGGCCTTCTCCACTGTCCCTGCTTGGGGTTCAAGACCAAGATTCAGTGGCACTGTATTTGTGTCCGAACTGCCCCCATACCTATCTGCCCATAGTGTCGTTTTATGATTTGCCTAAGGAAACACCCCATAGGAGAGCAGGACCCACCAATTTTTGAAAACGGTGCTTGTGGCAAAAATGCCTACTCAGTGGAGCACCTAACGTGTGCAGTTCCTGCAACCGTGCCTGCAGCTGTGGTAATGTGCGTGCAAATGGACAGACACCTAGATGGTCATTTGTAGGTGCATTTACTGTGATCCTGTGCACACGTGTGGTGATGGTGCATGCAAATTAGGCTCAATTCGGAAAATGTTGGGTTAAGTGGCACCGAGCAGGGTACATCCCTGTGCTGTCAACTTTGGCGATCTGGGTTCGAATCTTAGCCTGCAGTAGGTTAAAAAAAGTAATGAAGCTTGGTGGCCTTAGTTTAGTGCCCACTGGATGGGTATCAACATCACCACTCGAAACGACACGTGGCACAACTAATTCAGCACTCTGTGCTCTGCACTGGAATAACAAGGACTGAGATGCATAGGCAGAGCTGAGAGAGGTGAAAGGTTTGGAATAAATAGAGGGTGGGGCAGGTTAGAATAAATGTCCATTGCCAGAATGGGGCACTTGCGTAAAATGCCTGATTCCAGCCAGCGCTGCCAGCCCCTCGCTCTCCTGGGCACTGGATCTCACCCCAGTTTATAAGATATTAAATGTCACCAGGGAGGAAGCAAGCTGCACTTAGGAACAGATGTCCCTTCCCCTTTGTCTGGGGTGAGGGCAGGGCCCCAGTGGGAGAGGGCAGGGCAGCTTCCTACATTCTGTAGCACAGTTCTGATTAGCGAGGTTTTGCACCATCACGCTCACCCACTCCGGATCCCAGCCCTAGGAAGCCACATGTCAGAGGGTCTATTCCCCACCTCCAGGGTGTCTCTCCTGTCATTATCCACTATTCTGCTCTCACTCCCCCAGAGGTAGCCTGGTATCCCAGCTGGGCTGTATAACAAACCCTGAGCTCCGTAACGACATACGACAAGGAGACTTTTCTTTTCAATTCTTTCACCTTAAACTTCTGTTCATTATTTTTTCCTCACCCTTCAATTTAGAGAAGTATCTGAGGAACATGACAGGCTGGACTTATTCTAACTCCCCAAAGGGTAAGGTGGCGATTTCTGACGCTGCCCATTTTGTGGAACGGGTCGGTAACCAGTTTTACTGCTAGCTGCTCGAATGTCAGAAAGAATTCTCTCTGCAGGGAGCTAATTTCCATCATGTGCTTTCCCCACTCCAGCGCTAACACCAAAGCGCTTATGCCAGGGACAGCGAGGAGAGCTGCTCTCATGGCAGAAGGCTGAGAGATCCCAATGCCAAAGCAGCCATCATCCAATGCCGTATCAGGGCCAGCAACCCTGGTCTGGAAATAAACCTACAGCAAAGGCAATAGACTAGATTCTGATTTCATTTATGCTGGGGTCCATCAGTCACTTACTCCAGGGCATGTGAAAGTGAAGGAGGATCTAGCCCAGGCGGGGTAAGGCTGCTGCCGGAACAGGAGCAGCGACTTTCTTAACTTTTGAACATTCATCTATAATCATCTTTCAAAGATGTTTCAGGAATAAATTAGTCACTTTTCCTGAAGCATAGGGGGTGGGGGGGACGGGACGGGGGACTAGCTGACATAGAGGCGCACGGGGGAAACTAAGGACCAAAAGCTCCTGTTCGTCCTGTGGCTCTGTCTCTTCAGTGATTCGGCTCAGAGAGAGGGAGGGAGGGATAGCTAAAAGGGGAAACGCAGTGACCGCAGAATGAGGCAAAAGCAAAACATACTGATAAACAGGGAAGACCTGGACACACAGAAGAGATGAGAAAAATCACGTGGCCCCTCACTGTTGGTGGCTAAAGATCTCAGCAACAGCACACATGCACCCATGCTTTTCCTTTCTGGCATGAGTTGTGTTTTCAGAAGGCAGGACTGGACTAAGAGCCCAGGAAACAAGACTCTATCAAGCTACACTACTTGGGAGATTAATCAGACCCCCCTGCACTTGAGTGTTTGAAATTCAGGGGCCAAATCCAAATTTTGCACCTGGAGATCATCTCTAAGAACAAGACGCTGCTGTGCTTAAAAGCTAGTGAAAGAAAGAGCTAATAGTTACCTGCTGGCGTCCTGGGAGCTCGGCGACTAGGGGACTCCTTGGGAAGAAGAAGAGAGAGACTCAGACCATCTTCCAAGACAGCTAGCAGACAACTTTCCCAGCCACTACGCTGAACCAACAAGCTGGCTCGTAATTCTCTGTGTAAGAGAGGAAGATCGGTCCAGCCCTTCTGAGTCTTGACTCCGCCCGTCTGCCTGGAAGCCCAGAGTGTGTGTGTGTGTGTGGGTGGGGAAACACAGTGCGTGTATGAATCTCTCTCTGGTTAGAAAGCTGCTGTGTGCAGTTATGTGCAGCTCTCTGCCCACTCCCTCTCCAGGAAGAGGGAACGTACAGTCTGGTTGAATGGCCTTTGCCTCCCTCACTAATAAGGGAGTCTTTGTTTGCTGCCTTCTGGCTCAGTGCTGCCCAGTGCCCATGTACACGCCAGGAAAGCACGCACACGGTTTAAGGCAGTGGTGCTCAACCATGTACTCCTGGGGGTACACAGAGGTCTTCCAGGGGGTACATCAACTCCTCTAGATATTTGCCTGTTTTTAAAACAGGCTGCAGAAAATGCATTAGCGATGTCAGAACAAGCTAACATTTCATACGGACAATGACTTGTTTATACCGCTCTATATCCTGAAATGTCAGTACAATATTTATGTTCCAATTGATGTAGTTGATAATGATATGGTAACAATGAGAAAGGCGGCCATTTTTCAGTAACAATGTGCTGTGAGTTTTGTATTTTTATGTCTGCGTTTGCAAGCAAGGAGGTGAAACTTGGGGGTACGCAAGCCAAAGCAGACTCGTGAAAGGGGGACAGTCGTCTGGAAAGGCTGAGAGCCAGTGGTTTAAGGGTTCCGGCTGCTGTGGTCAGCGTGAAGGCAATGGTTGTCAGGAACTGGGGCAGGAGGAGCAACCAATCAAAGGTTTAAAAGTCATGGATCCTGCTGGCCCCAAGTCCTTCCTGCAAATCCCAGCACCTCTTCCATCGTTCCTACCCCATCCCTGCAAATCCTGCTGCTCCCCTTCCACCCGGTGCTCCAGTCCCAGGCATCCTGCACTGACCAGGGGCCTATATTTCCCAGCCACTTGCACCTGGAGGAGCCCTGTGTTCTCCAAACCATTTCCTTGCTATTCCTTTGGAAATTTAAAATGAAAGAAAGGAAGTGTACCAGGGAGCTCGCTGCCAGGCCCAAGACCGAAGCAGAGAGGGCCAAGGGCCGTCTGCTCATCTCCCCTGGGCTGCTTCTCCAATGCCAGGCGCGGGGAGTCTAGTGGCGCTAGGAGGAACCAGCTATTGTATCCACACTGAGCACCACCGGAGCCGGTCCCTTCTGTGCTCATTGTCAGGTGCTGGAAATGTGGGGACCCTGACTGAACTGCTAGGACCTGCGGCAGCACCGCACCAAGTCCCTTGTGGAGAGGGCTGCGGCTAAGCAGGAGTTCCTGGGCAGGGCCGGCTCCAGGCACCAGCGCAGCAAGCAGGTGCCTGGGACAGCCAATGAAGAGGGGCGGCACGTTCAGTTCTTCGGCGGCGGGTCCCTCAGTCCCTCTCGGAGGGAAGGACCCGCTGCCGAATTGCCGCCAAAGAGTGCAGCGGCGCAGTGGAGCTGCCGCCAAAGTGCCGCTGGAGCCGGCCCTGTTCCTGAGGGAGCTGGGAAGTCCTGGGGAGGGAAAACAGAGTGAAATTCTGCAGGAGAGGAGGGGGTGACACCACACTGAGTTCCCTGAGAAAACGGAGACACCTTCTTGGGTCAAGGACTCATCCAAGCCATCCTCGTGGCTCTCCACAGCCAACCATTCTGCCAACCCCCAAGCATGTCCTATCCCCCAAAACCATAGTTTTTAAAAACATGTCATAAAGCTGGGTTCTTCTTCTCTGGTGCCCAGGAGTCCTATTTCCAGGCCTTCCTCCACAGCCAAAAGGGCTAGAAACGTCCCTTCTTTATACACAAGAGCTGACGCCTGCATGGAATCACTTGTCTCCGGGAGCTGGGGCGATACGAAACGCAAGCCTGACCCTCAAGTCACGGGAATGGGCAGTTCTGAGTCAGCACGCGGGATTCCCCAGTGTGCTGGGACACATTTGTTTTGCTAAGATTTGGCACGCAGCTCAAGATCCTGACTGATTGTGACAAAAAGGCCGGCTTTGTTCCTGAATCCCGATGGAATTTTCCACTACCCTGGGCAATACGAAAGGCCAAGGGGAAAAAAATCCATCCAGTCCTGCTGCCTCCAATCACTAAAACAGAGAGTCAAAACCAAACCAGAAGAACACCTCCACTCTTTGCAGCCACTCTTCTGTATAACACAGGGAAGCAGGGCTTGAGAGCAGCCGACAAACCTGGGGAAGGTATAAACACCGGGGAGTGAGAGGAGTTGTTTGGGGTGGTGCCTGCGGGAATAACTAGGAGCTAATAGGGTGAAAGGGAAAAGTGAGGCTGATAAACATCTTGCAGTGAGATGTTGTGAGCTAGTCTCCAGAGGGAAAGGCTGGAAGCTTCACTCCTTGAAACCTTTGCCATTAAGATGCTGGATAATGCACTGCAGGGAACAAGCCTGCAGTGGGAGGAGACTGAATCAGTTAGTAGGGCTTTTCCTGCTCTAATGTCTCTCTGAGAACGCCACAGCATGGAAGAGGTACACCTACAAGGGACTATCTATGTGGGGTACTTAGATGCCCATTGCCCTAGCATCTGAGCAATTCGCAGTCTGTATCCTCACAACACCCCTGTGAGGCAGGGCAGCGCTAGTATCCCTGTTTTACAGGGAAACTGAGGCACAGAGAGGCTATTTAAACTCCTAACCTCCACTGAAATCAAATGACTTGTCCAAACAGGAAGTCTGAGAAGGAGCAGGGAGATGAGGCCGGGTCTCCTAAGTGCTAGGCTGGTGCTCTAACCACTGGATCACCCTGCCTCGGGACGTTTTGCTACCATTCCCTTTTAGACGGTGTGAAACTATGCTGTACACAGAGCATGATTTGGTGATCACGCTGCCAACCCGAATGTTCCATCGGTTCTTACAATGACCCACAAACAATCGGAGGGCAGAGGCAAATTGCGGCTGCTTTTTCACAAGAAAGTCCCGTTCGGTCTTGGCTTGCCGGCGAAACGGTGTGGACCACATCCAGCTCTAACCGAAGTGGCTACAACTCCACTGAAGTCATTTGCGCCTGCTTACTCCCAGGCATCAATTAGGTCTCAGATCACCAGCATGAAGCAAACCAAGAGCAAAGAGAGTTAATGGAGTTGGAGAATTTCATTGCTACCTGAGGGTGTAGAAAGAATACCGAGTGGGTCAATTCAAAGGGATTGGGATGGAAAACAGCCTTTCACACCAAGCCAGGAAAGAATTTGGGGAGGGAAATAATGAGAACATAGTAGACAAGAATACGGTGGGGAGGGACTGCAACCTCAGAATGTGTCTGAGTAACAGGAAGCCACCTGAAATCACTACACCTACCTGCCTGAATCCCTAGAGAAGCGGAGCTGCATCTTGGTGAGAATGTGGGGAGACCAGGAGACTTTCTGCGTCCTTAATGAAGCTGGCTCAAGCCCAGGAGATTCTAGTGGGAAACCTTCCACTAACAATGACCTGCAAACATGTGCTTCTGGGCCTCTCGCTGTCCTGCAACGCTTCCCAGTGGCGGATTACAAAACAGCACAAGTGAAAAACTCCTAACGCCTTTCTTGAGGACAGCCTGGCGGGAGGGAAATCCGCAGCACTCATCAGCTACTTTAATAATACACTCTTCAGGGGGTAGCCATGTTAGTCGGTATCCACAAAAACAACAAGGAGTCCGGTGGCATCTTAAAGACTAACAGATTTATTTGGGCATAAGCTTTAAGGTGCCATTGAACTCCTTGTTGTTCTAAGTGAGGTTTTTACTCACGAAAGCTTATGCCCAAATAAATCTGTTAGTCTTTAAGGTGCCACCAGACTCCTTGTTGTTTTAATAATACACTGCGCTTCTGCAGTACCTTCCATTTGAGGCTCTCTAAGTGCTTAGCAATGATTAACAAGTTCAAATGCCCTGGGGAGGTAACTTATTTTCCTAATTTTACAGATGGGGAAACGGATGCTTGGAGCAGTTAAGAGACTCCCCAAGCCAGCGGCAGTGCTGAGACTGGAACCCAAATCTCCTGACTCCCAATCCCATACTTTAATCCCTAGCGAGACCTGCTCTTAGCATCCATCTGGAACATATTCATGATGGATTAAGTCACAGAGGCAAGGGACTCTCACAGGTAACCCACTGCGTGGTTACTTGTCTTTTTAGAGCTAGAAAAGCAGTGAAAAGCAGGGCCTGTTGTACCAAATAAGTATGGTTTATTGAGCGTTCACTGCCACCACGTCACTTTAAAGGCATGAGTTCCAGCTTCAGAGCCAATCTTTGAATGACAGAGTTCATCACAAAATCCACAGCATATGCTCTTTTCTCCTAAATCACTTAGAATGGTAATGTGTTTTAAAAACCAGGCTGTTCTTGCTCTGCTGAGTGAAATACTCTGGATTTCATGGCGGTGGACATCACAACACGTTAACAGAAAATTCCTGCCCCGCAGGCACTTCTGTAGCACAGAGCTGCTCTGCTTCTCGGCACTGTTACAGCAGGGAGCTACTGCCAGTCGCTTGGCCATAACAACTCTGGCACTTCACGGTCCAGTTTATACTCATCATGGTTTTGAGCAACGGTGAAAGTCTGGGGGGTTTTAAGGCACTTCCTGTAAAAGGCAGGGAAATTCTGCAGATATGATGGCTCTCTGTAATTAAAAAGATCCCAACCTGGCACAGTTCTGCCTGGTTGGCATTGAGTGGATGGTGGCGCCAAGTTTGTTTGAGCACTTATTTATTAAAGGGGATCTCTGACTAGATGGCTCCGCAGATTGGCAATGATTTTGTCAGTTACTGTAGTTTATTTCCTGTAGTTTATTTCCTCAGATGATTTTGTCAGTTACAGTAGTTTATTTCCTGTAGTTTATTTTGTCAGTTACTGTAGTTTATTTCCTGTAGTTTATTTCCTCAGTGTAGTTTATTTCCTCACTGGGTGCACCACCACTTTTAACTCTGTTAACATAGCCCAAAGAAGAGCATTTGATAGACCGCTGCTGCCTAGGAGATGGGCACCCATGCGTCTTATTGTCTTTGCTTAGGTTCCACATAAACTCCAGTTATTGATTTCTGTTGTACCCTGGTGGCAGGCTTTTTACAAAACGTAATGGGGGAACCCAGCATCCCAGTCTACATCTCCTTCCCGGCTGTGCATGTCAGCTTCACTACTGAGAGCTTAAGGGCTGATGCATTGATGTAAGTCACTCTGCTACCAATATCTAACTTCATAAAGCAATTTCAGATACTTTGAGCCAAAGCCAACAGTCTTGGAAGTCGAAGGACGTATTGTCTGAGCAATTTAGTATGTGGCACCTTGGACATGAAGAACAGCATATGTAACCAAAAACTCTATTTTTTTACATTGAGAATCGAGTGCAGAGTTGCCAACTGTCACAATTTTACTGCAAGTCTCGTATTTTGCTGTATTTCTTAAAGCCCCAGCTCCTAGAATGACAAGACTGCATGAGGATCTCAGTTTTCATTAAAAAAAAAAAAGTAAGTTTCTAGCAATTATGGTTGCACAGAAAAACTTGAAAATGTGTAGCCAGGCTCAGAAAGTAAAAGGCAAATAAAAAGAACTCAGTTTTAAAAACATCTCATTATTTTTAAAGCCAATCTCACAATTTTTGAGGCCTGACTCAGATTTTTGAATGACTGATGCTGGCAATATTGCAAGTGAATTCTGATCCCTGGGTTGGAATAGGGGCAGGGAGAGGGCAGGGACTTTGGGGAAGGGGTTGGAATGGGGGAAGGGGTGGAGTGGGGGAGGGCCGGGGGCAGAGGGGGGGTCGAGCTCCCAGGGGAAAGCAGGGAAATCGGCACCTATGCATCACTGTGCTCCATGGTTGGACACTTTTGTCTTATTGTCTCCTTGCATTTCCTGTCTGTCTGTCATGGCCACCCACTTACCATTAAGAACGTACGTTCTTTAAGGCCAGGATCATCTTTCTGTTCTGCATTTGTACAGTGCCTAGCACAATGGAGTCCTGCTCTCTGCCCGGGGCTGCTGGGAGCTACGATAACACAAATGGGAGAGTCCAGGTGAGGAACAGAACAGGGCGGAGCCAAAGAGCAGGCAGGAACGGACTCATACATCTCAGCTGTTAATCCCCTGAAACTAGGGTTACCATATTTTAATTTAAAAAAAGGAGGACACTCCATGGGGCCCCGCCTCTGCCCCAACTCCGCCCTTTCCCCACCCCAACTCTGCCCCCTCCCCTGAACGCTCCGCCCCCCCTGCTGCTCCCGCTCCCCTGCTTCCCGCGAATCAAATGTTCACGGGAAGCCTGAAACAGGGAGGCAGCAGGTAAGCTGGGGCTGGGCCAGTCCGGCCCCCCTGGCTGAGCGGCTCCCTCCGGCGGCTGGCTGACTCAGGCCAAGAGGCTCTGGCCCCGGCGTCTCCCGCCCGGCTCGGGCCCTGGGGTCAGGGCCAGCTCCAGGCACCAGCCCACCAAGCATGTGCTTGGGGCGGCGCCTGAGGGGGGCGGCACGGCGGGGCGCTCCGGCCCGAGAGCAGGGCCACTACTGGGCTCGCCAGCCTCCCCGCGGCGCTCTGGCCGCCGGGGAGAGCGGAGCCGCAGCAGGCTCGCCGCCCTCCCCCCGGCGCTCCGGCCGGTCGGGGATTGCAGCCCGTGGCCAGGCTCGGCGCCCTTCCCTGCCGCGCTGGGGAGAGGGCGGCAGGTGGCTTTTTTGCCTAGGGCGGCAAAAAAGCCAGAACCGGCCCTGCCTAGGGCGCTGGCCCTGGTTCTGGCCGAGCAGCGCCAGCCCCCGGCCGAGCACCGCCAGTCACTCCCTCCCTATTTTCCCGGACATGTCCGGCTTTTTGGGATTTCCTCCTGGACGGGGATTTGAGGCCCCAAAAGCCGGACATGTCTGGGAAAATCCGGACGTATGGTAACATTACTGAAACCCCAGGGAGCCGCCCCAGGACGGGCACAGCAGCTGCTGGGGTACAGTGCTGGCTCTGCCGCCTGGCCACAATCCCTCCTGGCGCATGGCACAGGGCGGGCCCTGCCCCTGCTCGGAGTGGGGAGGACTGTGGCTTGGCTGGGGGGGTGCACTGCTAGGGGCCAACCCCCCATAGCCCCTATAGACTCATGGCCTGGTGAGGCGCTCCAGAGCCCCTATAGAACCACATGGCGAAGGCACACAGCTCCCCCTACCGGCCCGCATGGGAACTACCCGCTTTGAACCCCCACCACGTGCCTTTCCCGGAAGTGGCTGTGTG